TCCCCACCCAGGGCACATATAAGAAGCAACCAATGAGTGAATAAATAAACGTAACAACAAATGGATGTTCTTCTCTCCCTCTCTCTCTCTTTCTATCTTCCCCTAATTCCTCCCTGTCCCCTTTCTTTGTCTTTCTGGAAATCAAAATCAATCAATAAGAAAAACTTTTAAAAAGAAGTTAGAACCGGCTACTGGACGGATTTCCATCCCCTGCCGCTCTCACAAGCACCCTCTTCCATTTTCCCAGCAGCACTTGCCTCTGCCCTTCGACATTCCCAGAACTCCCCTTGGAAGTCAGCAACAGTGCGTTCAAAGGGCTCGTTTACACCCACTTCCATCAGTAAGATTTAGTTTACTGTGAGACACTGAGAGGGAAAATTCATTCACTTTCCTTCTGGGAAATTAGTAGATGCATTTTCCAGCCCAAATTCCTTGCCTAACATTTCTGGTAAAATTCAGAAGTTCACGATTTAACTCAAATAAAGCTACCTCTTAAGCAGCCAGCCAGGTGCACCTCTTCACGCCAACATATAGGGTTCCCTTTTTTCCTCTTCTATCAAAGGGAAGGGGTTTTTCACTTTACCCTTTCATGAGGTCTTAACTTGAATTTTTATACTTTTTTTAAAACCGCAAATTCTTTACAGTAAAGTAAGATTTGGAAAATATGCTGTCTTGAACTCAACGAATTTAAGCAGCTCAACAGTGCTCCCTGGTGGCCACGAGCACAAACAGACTGCTTGAGCTACAAAAAAAGGTAGAAACCGTCTCACCAAGATGAAACTCTCTTCCCCCAACTCAAAAAGTATTAAATGCTCATTTGAATCAGCAGTTCAAACCATCCAAACACGACGAAGACCAGAGAGTAAGAGACTGCATAGCTATTCATTTCAGTAAGTCACATGGGAAGGAATGCCCTAAAACTTACACATCACTTTTCTTCCCAGCCCCCAACATGTGGTGAATTTTCTTGAGGGTGGTAGCTCTAAAACTCTCCTTAACCAGCCATGCATGTCCTCACGACCAACACCATGCACGGGCCGGTGCTAGGCTGGCCCTAATCTTCACTCACCACAAAAATACTTCGATGCTGTGCTGTGTTAGCACTGCCCTTGCGTGTCGGGGATTCAAAGCAGGTCACAGACTAAAATCTCTGCTGTACAGATCTCCTACGTTGGTAGGGGAGGAAGAAGGTAAACATGTACATTTTAAAAAACAGTTTCTGAAAACACATTCTATGAAGAAATTCAAGCAGGGTAGATGGATAGAGAGGGATGGGGTGGAAATGGGGAGGTGAGTTACAAAAGGACGGGCAGGAGGCCTCTCCAAGGTTATAGCATTTTAGCGGAGACCTGAGTGATTATAATGTAAAGAAACCATGTATAGAAAGTATCCATGAGCAGAAAGCAGCTTTGGATTTTATACTGTACTAACAAACTCATTGGACAGTTTCGAGCTATCCAATGACATGTTCTCATACACATTTTTAAAAGATTGCTCTGACTCTGGTGAAATTTAAGACTAGGGGGCGCGGGGAGGTGATAGGCAACTATGAAAGCAGAAAGGCCGGTTAGAAGGCTACTGCAGAGTCCAAGCAAGAGGTTGCTGGCTTGGATTACTTTGCTAGTGGTGAAGGCAAAAGTGAGGAGAACTGGTTGGATCCAGAACACATTTAGGAAACCAGCCAATGGGGCTTGTTGATGAATTAGAAATCACTGGGAGGGACAGAATCAACCATGACTCCTTTGGCCCGAGCAGTTGGTGAGTAAGAATGACAACGACCAAGACAGGTCACTGGATGGGAGAGGAAAGAAGTGAGAAACCAAAAGCTCTGTCGGATTTGCCTATTAGATGCTCTATAGAATGTGTTTAGGAGAGGAGTGGGAATACGAGCCTGGAACTCAGAGGACAGATAGGGACTAAGATGCATATTTGGGAATACTCAGTGTATGCTAATATTTATAACCATAAGACTGGTAGAGACCGCCTAGGCAGAAGGAATTGCTAATGAAGAAAAAGGAAGAGAAGAGGCTGGGGGGTTGTAGAACCAGGGGTTGGGGGTAAAGGGTGGAGCACCCATCAAAGAAGATGGAGGTATTTTCTTCCTTCTGGTGACTTTGGGTGACACTGGTCTTCCCTTAATTTTTTAAAATGTAACGTTAGGTTGTTTAGTTGGCATTTTTCTGGCTTCTCAAGAGTCCTGTGATGATTCAAACTTCCCTCTATTATTGCTTTTGCTGCATCCCGGAAGCTCTCTCTTATCAAATTGTCATTCTCATTTGTCTCTATGCATCTTTTGAGTTCTCCTTTTATTTTTTTCTTTGACCCAGTCATTCTTTAGTGACATATTGCTTATTCTCCACATATTTGCGTTCTTTCCTGCTTTCTTTTTGCATTTGACTCCCAATTTCAAAGCATTGTGGTCGGAGGATGTGCTTGGTGTGATTTCCGTCTTCTTGAATTTGGTGAGTCTAGTTTCATGTTCCAGCACATATGATCTACCCTTGAGAATGTTCCCTGTGCACTGGAGAAGGATGTGTAACCTGGTGTTCTGGGATGAGAAGGTCTGTAAGTGCCGATCATGTCCATTTGGTCTAATGTGTCACTGAAGGCTGGTATTTCCTTATTAATCTTCTGTTTAGATGAACTAGCCACAGCTGTCAATGGGATTTCAGTCACCTACTACAACTGTGTCTTTGCCAGTTGCTCCTTTTAGTTAAGTAGTTGCTTTGTGTAGTTTGATGCTCCCTGAGTGCATACACATTGACGAGTGTTACGTCTTCCTGATGATTTGTCACCTTTATCATTATGAAATGTCCATCTTTGTCCCTTGTTGGTTTTTAATCTTGAAATCTATTTTTTTGGATGTGAGTGCAGCTGTACTCACTTTTCTCTGGATGCCATCTGCTTAGAGAATTGTTTTCTACCCTTTCACTTTAAGTCCGTATTTGTCTTTGCAGCTAAGATGTGTCTCTGGAAAGCAGCATATGGTTGGGTTTTGTTTTTTGATCCAACCTGCTACTCAGTGCCTAACAGATGACTAGATAAAGAAGATGTAGTATATATATGCACAACAGAATACTTACTAAGTCATAGAAAAGATGAAATACTGCCAGTTACAATAATATGGATGGATCGTAAAAGTATCGTGCTTAGCGAAATAAGTCAGATAGAAAAAATCAAGAACTATTCATATTTGGGATATAAAACTGAAAGCTACAAGTGAACAAACAAGGCAGACAAACAAACAAACAAAATCTCTTAGACACAGACAACAGTATAGTGGTTAGCCCAGGGCAAGGGGGGTGGGAGGGAGGGAGTGAAGGGCAAGTGGGGTCAAACAGATGGTGACAGAAGGAGTTTTGACTCTGGGTGGTAAACACACAATGCGATATACACATGATGTGTTACAGAATTGTCCACTTGAAACCTACATACCCTGTTAACCAGTGTCACCCCAATACATGTAATAATTTTTTTTAAGTAGATGGAGCCAGCAAAGAAGATTGTGAAGGAACAGCCAGACAGGTAGGAGGAACCAAAAGCCAAGATAAAAGGTATTCTAAGGAGGGAAATGTCAGATGCTGTAGAAAAAAAAAGGGGGGGGGGATAAGAATGAAATTGGCCAGTGGATTCTACAAGACGGAGATCCCTTCAGTGAAGCAATGAAGGCAAACACTTCCAAATTGGAGCCATTTAAAGGGAGAACAGGAGGCAAGGATGCAGAACCTGCACAACGGACATTTCTCCCTGTGAAGCGGGGCTGAGAGAAGACAAAGGAGCTGGGGAAAATAAGGGGTCAAAGGAAGTGTGTTTATTTTTCTTTGCTCTCATTTACCAGGGAGATATTACAACATTTTTGTGCAGTGTCGAGACTAATTCTATACTGGAAAGAAGCGATGATTAAGGGAGAAGGGATGGGATCCTATGCTCCAGGGCGAGCAAGGAGACCAAATGCACAGTTCCGCATGCAGGACGCGAAGGGAGGCTTGGGAGTGCCGAGTCCTCACCTGAGCACTCCTAATTTACTTCCTGGTGAAACAGAAAAGAAGAAGCTAATGTTCTGCGTGTCAGCTCAGAGTATGTGGGAGGAAGGGTAGCACAGATTTGAGAGAGACAAGAAAATGAGTGGAAAGGGAATCTGCTAGGGACCGCAGTGAGACTGCCAAGTGTTTTTCCCTGAGATAAAACTAGTTTTTTTAATCCTCACCTGAGGATATGGTCATTAATATTAGACAGAGATGGAGAGAGAAAGAGCGAGACATCCGTGCAGGAAACAATCATCCACCAGTTGCCTCCCAAATTCCCCCCAACTGGGGGTCAAACCTGCAACCCAGATATGTGCCCTGAATGGGGATAGAATCTACGACCTTTTGGTATACCCTACAGGTGTCAAACACAGGCCTGTGGGCTGAATCCGGCCCTCCACCTTGTTTTATCCGGCCTGGCACCTTGTTTCTACCCGGCAGCGCTGAGATCCTTGCCCCTTGTTAAGGACTAGTTACATTTACACAGTCCTAAAACTACATTCAGCCCTTTGAAGGCAACCACAAGGCTGACGTGGCCCCTGATGAAAATGAGTTTGTTGCCCCTGGTGTACAGGATGATGGTCCAACCAACTGAGCCACCCACCCAGGGCTGAGAAGACTATTCTTAAGGCACTTGTAACAGAATCACAAATATGTTGCTGAGAAAGAAACAGTAGTAGGAAAAAATTCTTTTTAAGTATGAAATATTTTAAATATTTCAAATATCCAGAAGGAATTCAACCAACATTCATGTACACACTGCCCAAGATGTAACCAATGATAACATTTGGTTTCGGGTACCTTGGTAAGAAATAAAACAGTCGCCATGGCAGGCCCCTTCCCATCCCGCTCCAATTCCATGGCCTTCTTCCTCTCTCTTAAACTTCATTATCTAATGATAAAAAGGAATAGTGTTCCCCTTCCTCCAGCTCCATGATGACTTTGTTCATCCAAGGGCCTTTATCTGAGACTTACCTGTTATCTGGGTTGTCAGAGAGATGACCACGGGACGTGCAGAAGACAACGCCTGGATGCTGACGCTGTAGTTGGTACCCGGACGCAGGTCCAAGCACATCTCCGGAGCCTGGCTCCTGGTAGTGACATTAAAGGTGATTTCGTGGGCAAATTCCTTCTGATACCACCTCTGGCCCTGAATGTGGAGCTGAAACACAGAAAAGTTCACGGGGTGAACTATTAGCTTGACAGACTTGGAATGCCTAGATCCTTACCTTCCTCATGACCTCTCTTGCTATTGACTCTAAAGTGCCTTCAGAAAGTGAAATACAGCCCTGACTGATGTGGCTCAGTGGATTGAGCACTGGCCTGAAAACCGAAATGTCACTGGTTTGATTCCCAGTCAGGGCACATGCCTGGGTTGAGGACGTGTGAGAGGCAACCACATATTGATATTTCTCTCCTTCTCTCCTTCCCTTCCCCTCTAAAAACAAATAAATAAAATCTTTTAAAAAAGAAAAAAGAACATGGGCTTTGGCGGTCAGACTGACATACACTCTAACCCCTGCCCGACTACATCATTAGCTGGGTGACCTTGAGCAAGTTAGTTAAAAAAAAAAAAGTGAAATACAACAGTAAGTAGAGATTAGAGTTATAATAATAGCCTGTACATTATAGTCATAATATTATCAGTATGATAAATATAGTTTTATATCAAAATGCACAAAAGATTGAGGACCCAAATTCTGGCAACATGCAGGCCCAATGTGAAAATCTATTGGCAAAATTTTAGGAGCAAGGCCAAAGGACAGTTTCCTAGGAAAAAAAAATAAGAATCTGAACTAAGGCTTCTCCAAAGCAGGACATGGATTAGAATGCTCTATTCTAAGCTGGTCTGGTGAAACCCAGACAGGGTTTTCCCCCTCTGCCCGCCCCCTTCTGACCTTCCTTACACCTTCCCGGAACATCCCAGTGCCTGGGCCGGCAGACACGCACTTTTCTCTGCTTAATCCCTTCTAATAACAGCTCAGCCCATGGGATTTCCCTTTCTTACTCACAACCAAGTCTAGCTCCAAAAGTTCCCCTAGACTCTCCAGACAATATGTTGAGACCCTTGTCGGGGACATTGGTGTGGAGAGACACAGGCCAAAGCCTTTGGTTCCCTCCGCAGATCCCATGGGGACATCAGTTCTGCACCGGGCCACGTGCACCAAAAACCCTCTCCTGGCCTTCTCGTCAGTCCCCAAGGTCTCTGTTGTCAAAAATGCAGCAGAAGTGCCCCTTTGATTGTTTCTGGCTATACCTGTCACTGTGACCCTTCTATGGATAATGGCAGCTATATAAGTTGATTTTTAGGTATGTTGACATTTTTTAAACCTCCTGAACAACCAACACCCATGAATAAAGAAGCTGTCAGCAACTCACTAAATACATTTCCTCTGTACCAGCTATCTTCATATTTCTCCATCGCAAGCAGGTCTCATTAAATACTGAAATGTTACTGATGGTCTGTTTCGCTGCAGGGAGAAAAGAATGAGAAATCAATTGGCATCCAATACAAATCTACCATCTTTTCACTGAAAGTTTTCCAAGGGTAAGCATTTACCTGGGGTGATGGCGGCAGTATTTTAATTTTCAAGTCAGCGGTGGTAGCACCGCTCCTACTTCTATCGTTATGTAAACTCAGTCCTAATTGAAGATTTAGGGTTACAAGATGCCTAACTGGAGGATCCCTCTTAAGAATTATTTAAGTCTATGTATTCACCGCAAACTCCTTTGGTTTACTAAGTTAATCCCTTTGGTTTACTTAAAGTCAAGATGGCAACTCACCGTACCTGCCTTGGGCAATGTCACTTACACGAATAAGCATCAGTCTGAAATTCTGAGCTGAGGGAAAGAAACATTTTGGCACAAAGTTGAGAATCGCTCCATGCGGGACTGAGTGCTCCTGTCTCAGGCAGTCAGGCTATTCGTGATGGAAAGCGGGAAGGGTTACCTCTCAGTCTGCACTTCCTCATCTCTTATGACCAGAACCTCTGCTCCATTTCATGGTAATCAATCTAAAAGTTATTTCAGATCTGGTACGGTGTTATGTAGAGACACACCCCCCACACACACACACATCCCACACACACATACACAAGGTTTGTACAATAAAGCCTACTTCGAACCTCTGATATCAGAGGTTACTGCCTTCCACAATTATCTCCACCCCTAAACTGGAAATAATAGGACAGACTTGCTAAGAAGTTTCATAGGAACAGTGATGATTACTAAGTGAGACAGAACTTGAACAGCATGAAGGGAAAGAAGGGAGGGGGGAAGGAGAGGGGAGGGAGGGGGAAGGAGAGGGGAGGGGGAAGGAGAGGGGAGGGGAGGGGAGGGGAGGGAGGGGAGGGGAGGGGAGGGGAGGGGAGGGGAGGGGAGGGGAGGGAGGGGAGGGGAGGGGAGGGGAGGGGAGGGGAGGGGAAAGATCAATTCATGGGAGCCAAGCCAGGCCTGACAGGTTCCTACGGAGGAAGCCAAATTGGGTGACGTGAGTCCTTATGGACTGGGCAGCTCTGCCCAAATAAAACTTGTTCCGCAGGTTACGTGCTCTATTCTAAATGTTGTTAAGATAAAGTAAGAAAGCACGGATGATTCAGGATAACCTGACCTCACCCCTGGGTATAGATGGTTTTGGAGATAAGGGGCAGTGGAGCAAGAACCCCCACAATGATGAAACTCAACGAAAAGGAAGTAACTCCGATACTATTCAAATAGCTCCAGACCTTTTCGTAGAAGAAGGTGAAGTTTCCCAGTTCATTCAGTATGACGAGATACCCACATGCCCAAAGTGTAAAAGGATGGCAGGACCAATCATTAAACACACTGGGCTAGACTCACTTATCAAATACAAGAAATCCAAAATAAAATACAAGCCAACAGAAGCCAGCAGTACATTCGAACAACAGTACATTGTGATCAAGGAGCTTTATCCCAGGAATACAGAGATGACTGTTATTGGGAAAGCTATTCATAGAGTGAAAGAGAAAAACCACGTGGCTCTTTTTATCATTACAATGACTAGTACATTAATATACATTCTTGACTGAAAATCTTAGTAAACTAGGATTCGATTTCATAGAAACGCCTTAATTTAAAAGAGTGTTTATTAGAAACCACTAGGCTTATAAAACATACTCCATAAAACAATGAAACAATTTCTGGTGAAGTTAAGAACAATACAAGGATGCATGGTCTCAGAGCTATTACTTAGCATTAGTCAGAGGACTTTAGACAATCAGAAAGGGGTAAGAAAAAAAAAGAGCTATAAATACCAGTAAGAAAGAGACCAAATGATACAACTGCCAGTAAGTCTAGGAGAATCAACTGAAAAACAAATGTGAAATTGCTTGAAGATAGAAAAACAGATACAAATAATAGGAGTTTGGCGAGCTGCACCCAAACACAAGAACATAGAAAAACTCATAGTTTTCTGTGTAGCTGCAAGAACAAGTATGGTGAGCTGAATAATGTGTCCCCACACCCAGGCGTCCTCATCCTGGCATCCTAGCCCCTGGCATCTGTGACCAGGCCACGTCACAGGACAAAGGACTTTGTAAATGTGATTAAGAAAGGAGATGATCTGGATTAGCCAGATGAGCCCAAGGTAGTACAAGCATCCTCGTCAGAGGAAGACAATCAGGGTTGGAGACTGAAGGGACAAAAGCAGAGGCTAAACTGATGAGCTTGAAAGAGAACAGGACCACCCAGCCCAAGAATGCCCCCAGGCTCTAGAAGCTGCAAAGAGCAAAGAAACAGATTCTCTCCTCAAGCCCCCAGAATGAACATAGCCTGCTGACATCTTGCCTTTAACCCAGTGAAACTGATTCAGACTTCTGGCCTTCAATATTAGAAAATAGTATATTCATCTTGTTTTAAGCCGGTAAATTTGCAGTTAATTGTCATACCAGTCACCAAAAAGCAACACACCAAATAAAGGACAATAGAAAAATTAAATGACCCATATTCAGAAGAGAGGACACCATGAACAAACTTCCAATACCTAGAAATAAATCTAACTTGAAATGTCCAAGACTGACATTAAGATTTAAAAACAATTTTTTTCCCTGAAGGACATAAAAAAAACTATAAAGAGAGAAATGCCACAACCATAAATGGGAAGACTCATAAGTGAAAAGACATCAATTCTCCACGAATCAATCTACAAATGCAATGCCTTATACTTCCAATGGCAGTGTGGCCTTCTTGGAATGTTGTAAGTTCACACATCTATTCTTTGGATGCACAGGAAGGGGAAATAAAATAACATGAAACCAATGTGGTCATCAGAACTGGAAGACAAAGAATACTACAAACTTTACATTACTCTTTAAGGAAAAAATAAATAAATGCCAAATGCCAGCAAAGCTCTCTTTCAATCTACCACATCTCATTCTATAGAGGGAGGGGAGTTCTAGAAGACACATGTAAAAGAGAAGAGAGAAATCAAAGGACCCCTGAGTGAGCTGGAAATCTTATTCCCAGAAAGAGAAATTCTACCTTAACTGTGAAAGCACCGAAAAAAGAGACCTGGTATAGCAGAGGGCCGATGACAGGCAAAGAAAGAAAAGCCTGTGGGACTCCAGGAGCATGAGGAAGGCACTGGCTCTGGGAGAGAGAAGTGAAAGGACCACTCAGGAGACTGAGTGGTTACAGGAAGAAGAAGTTGGGGGGGGGGGGATGCAAGATCCCACAAAGCAAAAGAGGACGCCAAATAGGAGGAGAATATACAAATTCATCCCGCCCTCACCAAAAAAGCAATAAACATATTCTTTAAAGGACCTGCACTTCATTCAAGGACAGAAGAGGGCACTCTTAACCCAGAAATCTAATTGATCTTCCTAAATTACCAACTCTGTGGAATGAATAGACATTAGAAAGAGAATATATATATATATATATATATATATATATATATATATATATATATATATAAAATCAAAGCATTTCAGCTTGTGAAAAACTCCACACTGTTAAAAAAAATAAACCCACATACTAGGAAAAATGTGTAACTCACTAAATTGAAATAAATATCCCCAAACAAGCATTGGGGATATGAAGAAAACACCTTGAGTGAGGAATTCAAAAACTAAGAACAGAAATGGACAAAAAGTGGGGAAGAAAAGAAACAAAAGTGATTGAATTCAGGAAAGAAACAAAAGGAAAAGACTAATTAATATCAGAAATAAAGTCGAAATGCCACAGTGCCCAAAGTAGGACGGATTAGAAGGAAATTCTAGTAAGAGGCACTAGAGAAATGCAGGAAGAACAAAACAGAAGGACTTAAAATGAGAGTAAACACAGGCAAAAAAATATTTTAAAGTGCTTGAAATGGGACACAAAGATCCAACGTGTGTATAATTAAAGTCTCTAAAAAAGAAAAACATTGAAACAGGTAACATTTAAAATTGTAATCCAAAATAACTTTACAAAAATTAGAAATACAAATGCGGAAAGGGCCTACAAGATAACTGAGAAAGCTCATCTAGAACAATCAATTCAAGTAAAACTATTAGACTTTAAAGATAAAGAAAAATCCTCAGCATCTTCACTCAAGTAAATAAATAAGATCCAAAAGAGAAAAGGGGGGGGGGCTGCATCAGACTTCTCAAAAGCTAAATAAAAAGCGAGGTAATAATAGAACTGAATTTTAAGGAAACTCCAGTCAAGCAAGTGTGAACCAAGATTTTATATCCAGCCACGCTATCTCCCATGTTGAGGCCAGAGGGAAGTGTGAGACATGTAAGAACTCAGGGAACGTTGTGCTCTTGAGGAGCCTCCCAGCAGGTGAGGTCCATCCAAGGGGCAACTAAGGGAACTTCAGCAAAAACACTGATGGCGACTATCTGATATATTCTATTGTAGGCTTAAGACAAAAAGGTAAGACAAGGTAGAAGAAAAAATACAAATGGTCTGTGTTCTGATAAAGTAAAAAATAAGGCAACTCAAAACTGGGAGGAGAGAGGATGGGACAAGAGGCCAATCTGACTGTTATACAGTAACAGTCAAATGGAAGGTAAAGTACACCACTAAAAGCTGACAAACCAGATGGTGAAAAGTTATATAAGAAAACAGCCCTGGCTGGTGTAGCTCAGTGGATTGAACACGGGCTTGTGAAGCAAGGGGTCACCAGTTCGATTCCCAGTCAGGGCACATGCCTGGGTTGCAGGCCAGGTGCCCAGTAGGGGACACATGAGAGGCAACCACGCATTGATGTTTCTCTCCCACTCTTTCTCCTTCCCTCTCCCTCTCTAGAAACAAACAAACAAACAAACAAATAAATAAATAAATATGAAAGCAGAAATTACTGATGCGGAGCAGGAGTCAGCAAATTTTTCCTACAGTGGGTCAGTTAGTAAATATTTTAGGCTTTCTGGGCCACCCTGCTCATCCACAACTGCTCAGCTCTGCCTTTGTAGCACAAAGGTAGCCACAGACCTATTAGGTAATATGTAAATGAATGACTAATATGTAAATGAATGACTAATATGTAAATGAATGACGAGACTGTGCTTCAATAAAACTTTATTAGAAAACCAGGCGATAGGGCAGATTTGGCTTGCAGGCCATAGTTTGCTAATTCCTGATGTAGAAGAGAAAAAAGAATGGTGTATCTAATTAATTAAACAAAATCTTGGTTTTTTAAAAATACAGAAAAATAGATAAACTGCTAATAACCTAATTTAGAAAAAAGGAAGAAAATACAAAGGGAGAAACAATCACTGAAACAAGAAAAATTCAAAAAGTTAAATGACACTACTATGTAGATCCCATGCACATCATCTCAAACACATGGGTGAAATGGGTAATTTCTAATATAGCTTGCCCAAATTGACCCCATTGTCTACATGAACTGTAATAATAAAAGAAATCTTCCAAATAATGAAGGAAACCTTCCAAATTCTTTTTATGAAGCAAGGAAAATACAAATGCCTAAACCTGAGAAAGGCAGTACAAAGAAAGAGAGAAAACTATAAACGAACATCACTTATGAACACTGGAGCATAAATACTCTAAAGAAAATATTAGGGAACAGACTCCAAACCATGACAAAACACAGGATGGCCAGGCAGGATTTAGTTCTGGAAGCGAGAGACTCAGGCAGGGAAGGCAGAAGAATGAGACAACAAGGGAGAGAACTTTGAAATTATATCAAATTAAAAAGTTACAAGAGAATAAAATTTAAAAACAATACCTTGTAATTAGCTTTTTTTAATGTCTCATTGATGGATGGTTAAGACTAAGAAGTAAGTCATCTTTTCTCCCATTTCAGCCTGGGAAATAGCCGCCTTGGAGCCTCTCCGTCTGTGTACCTGAGACCCTTGGGGGGGGGGGGCGGATTCTACAGCAGGGATTAGTCTTGGGTTGAAGTAGATAAAGTCCATTGGAATTATTGATACAGGGTGCAGCCAAGGGGGGCCCCCCAAAAAGGATTTGGAATGGTGTCCAGAATTCAAAGTGTATGGGAATAATGGAGAGACGTATAAGATGTCCTCACCCCCCCCCCACAGGTGTGAGTTGGGGGGAAGGGACAGTTTTGTACAGCCACAGCCTTGCAGCTAATCCATGGCATTGTCTTTTAACATATCTATAGCCTTTGGCGGTCACTTGGATATGTTAAATGGCTGTGGCCAGGCTTGGAGCTAGGGGATGAAGTCACTTCCCCCCATGATGTAACTGGGGGCAGGTCCCCCAAGTTACAGCGCCTGCGTAGGGGCTTGGAGAAGATTGGCTCGAGGATATGGGATGATTACTGCCCAGACTAATGATGGCAGCCCAGTAAACTTGTATTAATACAGAATACTGGCAGGTGTAACTGATCTTGGGAGGAGTCGGAAATAGGGGTACAGAGGAAGATGGGTGCTAGGATTTAAAAGCCAGACACGGCAGCCATTGAGGGAGAGAGCCACGCGGTTTCAGCAGAGTAAGGACCCCCTCTTGGTGAGGTGAAAGAGGGAGCCACGTGGTTTTGGCAGGGTGCAGACCCCCTCTTTCCCAGGTGAAAGGGAAAAACCACGCAGCTTTGCCAGAATGGAGATCCCTGCAGCCAGGTGAAGAAGACAGCCACATACTTTTGGTGGAGTGCGGACTCCTGCAGCTTTGGTAGAAGAGGCCCACACGGCTTTGGGGTGCCCCCTTTGGCCGCGGGGCCTGAAAAGCAACAGAGACTTTGACTGGAACTGGGTACAAAGGACTCTTGCCAGTGGACCATGAGAGGGTACCACAGTACTTTGGATTAACTCGAGATCCTACACAGTGACACAGCTGACGGTGCCAGCGGTCTGCAACACAGACGTGTGCTCTTTTCCTGATTTACGGTACCCGGAGTTGGGACAGTGGGAGAAGGGGAGCGCTGTGTGGGTGTAGGTGTATACATAAAGGACTTTGATATTTTAGTGGTGGCATTAGGCCTGAATAGCATTAAATAAACATTTTGTTTCCTTTTCACAAATCTCTGGCTTTAAGAGATGTCTTTCCAATTGGCGGCGGACAGAAGGGCCCAGTAGATTTTAGTATTTTGGTTTTTGGGAGGGGCCCCTGTTGTATAGCAGTTTTGGGCATCCCTGGATGGGCCAAATATTGTATTGCCCCTCCCTCGGACCTCCTCTTGTTCGGTAACATTATCACAAACTCAACCGCTAAGCTGTCACAAAAGGTGTGTGCCTAGAACCCTCGGTTCCTGGAAAGATTTGCCCAGCCTCTGAAAAACGAAGGAAATTATTTTACAAAACAGGTTTTAGTCTTGCAAATAAGAAGAGATTAGGAGACAATGAAATAAAGAAAATAACATCAAGGAGAAGGAAATTTGAGCTCATATTGGCTCTGCTTGAAAACCATGACAAGGAAAAGGGGGATCTATCCAAATACGACCACTCTAAAGAGACTAGAAAAGACAGGAATATTTACTGGGTCTGGGGAAGTGGCTCGAAATCGCCAAAGAGAAGAATAAAAGGACTATACTAAAGAACAGCCTAGAAGGACTCTCTTCCCAAAAGGTGCCCAGATTCAGGCATTATTCTATCAAGCAGGGTCCTCTTAAAGTCTTCAGTAGGGAACCCCTCAAAGTGGAATTGTGACACTCTGTAGTTTCAGAAAATGTGGACATTTTAAAGAGAGAAATATTTGAGAAATCAGTGTAGACTTCTTGAAGCATCATTAAATTAGTTAGTTTCAAGGTGACATTGTTCTTTTTTTTTTTTAATTGTTGTTCAAGTACAGTTGTCTCCAGTACACTGTTCTTGTAGAGGGAAGAGCAGGAAGAGCTGAGGCTAGAAGGAAGCCTGCCTGGGAAACGTAGGGAGGGAGAACTTAAAGAGAAGCAGAGCTGTAATAAAATAATGGGGAAACCAGGAAGGGATGGCAATTACCCGGTCCAGGCCTGGGTTATAGGTTGAATGGCATCGAAATAGATCCCTCCTAATGGAAGTAAAATGGGCAGGATGTATTTGAACACTGGATGATCGTGGCAGATCCAGAACTCTCTGGTATCATTTTCTCTCTTTCTACAGAGAGCTCACCAGCAGAATCCAAAGTAATACGCTAGGGGAACAAAAATCTAAGTGTGAAAACAAAAAGCAAATGTAGGGAAGGAAAGTATTACAGTCTAGCAAAAGGTATGAGCGAGGGAATAAAGAAGGAACAGAAACAACTAGGATGGAAGTTTGTGAGCTGAAAGCTCCGCCCACAGAACAGCAGAGGGAAGTGGACCACTGGCGCCCTATCTCTCTGATGCAGAGAAGGAAGCAGTGGCAGGAAGGAACGCTCCAGTTCTCTGCAAAAAAGCACAGGCGCTTCAAGTCTTAGAAATGCGGTTCTTGGGAAAGGTGTGGCCTGGGCACTTCCTGATTCATTAGACCAGTGAAAGCAGAAGTTCCAGAAACTTAACAGCTCAAGGATCAGCTGGGGGTAATTGTCAGGGGGAGACAAATGGGAAACTTCCGCACCAGGCAGCAGGACTCACAGGCAAGGCACTCCGTAAAGTAATTCCTGGGGTCTTTCTGGAAACAGAGGAAAGAAGAGAAAATTGGGACTGTGACGGGGGCATGCAGGACAATCCATGTCACCTGAAGAGATTCCTACTCTTACTACTGTATTGGGGGCTACCCTGCCCACAAAGAAAGGAGGCTCTTTCACTAAAGAGATAAAGATCGCCCTGGCTGGTGTAGCTCAGTGGATTGAGCACGGGCCTGCAAACCAAACCACCTCGGTTTGATTCCCAGTCAGGGCACGTGCCTGGGTTGCAGACCAGTTCCCAGCAGGGGACGCAGCACGAGAGGCAACCATACATTGATATTTCTCTCCCTCTCCTTCCCTTCCCCTCTAAAGATAAATAAATAAAATCCTTTTAAAAAGAGAGATAAAGATCATCTACGATGGGGGAGGGTGGGTAGAAACAGGGCTCAAAGGAGAGATGAAAATGAAAAGGTTCTAACGACTGGGAGTGGGCACCAAGAAAGACCTGGAGACGGCCCTGCAAAGTTCTAAAATTTCCAAGCAAAGTGAATTTCCCCCCTGTCTTTGTGGGCAGGGCACCCCACAATATATGGGAAGCCCAGGGTCAGACCGAATCCAAGTAACCTCATTAGACGAGATTTTCCTGAATTAGGTTTCAATTCCCAGGTGGGGGGCTCCAGACTGCTTTGGTAACTTACAGAGGCTGAAATACCACAGGAGCCAGAACCTGTGGGGAAGGGGACCGGCGGTGAGTTTCAGGCACCCGGAACCCCAACAAAGTCGGTAGTGTGTTAGAACTAGAACGGAAGTCTCTTGGCTCCCAGCATTCCCCATGCTCCCCCATATTGCACAATTCACATATCTCCCTTGTTGTCCTGAGCTACAAAACAGAAAGGCACGCACACCCACCTGCTGGTGCGGTTGAAGTCATCACCTGCACTGAGTGCGGCTCGGGAGATCCCCACAGGGTGATGTTCACCGTGTAATCGGTGGCTGGGTACAGGTCTAAACACACGACCGAAGCTCGTTCCCCCGTTGTGAAGTTAAATGATACTGCGTGATAAAAATCACTCAGGTACCTTCTTCGGCCCACAATTTTAAACTGTCATGAGATGAAAAGAAATGGTTGCATTATAGTTTCTGTTGGTTTGCAGATACCTAGATTATAAGCGAGACAAAGATAGAGCAAGGAGGTTCCTTCTGTTTGTCCTCACCCACTGATGTTTGAGTAGAGTATGTTATGGCAGAGTTATGTCTAATACAACAGCAAGCTAAACGGGGAAGGACCTTACAAAGCTGCCCTACCTGTTCTATGCAACTTCCCCCTCAAACAACTGCAGACTGAACTTCAAATGTATAACCTCATTCCGGATGAACAGATTGTCGGGCCATTCTAAGGTAATCCCTTGACAGCATTGGGGCTACTGAACAAGATTATTTTAAATTCTGTTCATTCCTAAGGATTTCTTAGATAAGCCTCAGGGAACAGTTTTTAAACTTTATGAGAACTACTGCAAACTGCGTCCAAAGTAGCTGTGCAGTGGTATACACTTCACTCACTCTTTCAGCTGAGCTCTGCTGTAAGAGAGCTTCTGGTCTGTGGAGTCATCATCCACTGTTAACTGGATCCACTGCCGACTCAAGTGGCCAGTATAATATGGGGATTTATAAGGGCAAATATATGTGCTGGTCCCAGAAGTAATATGACCAGCCCTTGACTGATCGGTGTGCTTTGGCTAAATGTCTGTGTGTTCACTGTTTCCTCTGATGCTCATGCCATCGGCTGTCCTGCCCCCTCCCTCCTCATCACGGGCATTGTCCCACAGTCATCCAGAACCCTGACACAGGACTCACTGGGAGACTTCGCCCTTCCCCAATTCCTAGCATTCTCTTGGGCAATTTAAAGTACCCTAAACATAAGCCACCAGCACCTGGCCTCAGAGTCCCTTGAGCTCAATGCTAATGAAGTTCTTCCACTCCACCTAAATGGCTCAGATCCATGGCCACACCTTAACTAGACTGTCATGAGCAGCACTGATCGAACCAAGATCTCGCATCCCCTATTCTCACTCCCACTAGACATGATCTTTCTCAAGAAAACCCCCAACTTTTCCTCACTTAAGATTTTCTACCAATATTCTCCCACCCCCATCCTCATCTTCCCCACCTCTCTCAGCCATCATTCTTTAACACATCAACCATGTTCTTCCCCAGTACCCTCAATGCCTTTGCCCTTTGTTCTCAATTCCATCCATTTGAGAAAACACAAAATTCTGGGTCAGCCCAGATGTTGGACTTCCTCACATCTGCATTCTGACTGCCGACGTCTGCCTGACAAAATCTCACGACTCTGTAGGCTACATTTCTACAGCCGTTCTCATCCTCAACTTCATATGGTTCAGTCTATACACAACAACAGCAAACGTGCTTCCTGGTTGTAGGCTTTGAATCTGCTCTATGTCCTATTTTATAATATAGTCTTTTTATTTAGCAATATATCATCATTTTTGTCTGTCATCAATTCATTCTGTAGATACAGTGCCTATTACTTGCCAGCCAGAATATACAGTGTTGGGTCTACAATGGCAAGTAAGTTCCTAACCTAAAGACACTCACAAATAAGTATCCAGGCAAATAAAACACCCAGAGACGAGTGTGATCATACAGGAAGCTATAGGAGCACCCAGGAGGGACACCTGACCCTCCTCTTCGGGGATCAGGAAAGCCCTCCCCATCTTAACTGGGGACTGAAGGAGAAATCAGCACTAACCAGGAGGGCTGGGGATGTGGAAGGTCAGAGCAGGAACAACAGTGTGAAGAGCAGGAACAGCGTTTGGGGGAGCAGGTCCATGAAGGCTTTCCACCGGGCAATGGCTGTGCTGAGCCTCGAAGCATGGGCAGGAGTTGGCCCGGTGGGTTCAGGGAGGGAGGGAAGAGGACTGCAGGAAGGAGGGTCACACATGTGAAAGACACACATGAAAGAAAGTGCAAGGAGCTTGTCAGGCAGTCTGCAGATTATAGAACAGATGAGGCCTAAAGAAACGGATCTAGGAGTCTAAGCATAGAGATAATTAAGGAAGGCAACAGCTTGGGTTAGATGCCCAAAGAGGGTACAGGATATAAAGAGAACAGGCAAGGCACAGCCCTGAGGGTTATCGAATTTAAGGGCCAGGCAGAGGAAGGGAATCCTAGGAAGGAGATGAGTGGAGTGAAGCCAGCAGGAGACAGAGGAATACTGGGCAAGAGCAGCTCAGTGGTGTCCGGTGGGAAGCAGATGTCTGTGTAGTGTTCTACCAGATGGAGGTATGAGTATTTATTCACACGAATTCCTATGGAGGAACATTTGTTTCTAATTATTACTAATGACTCAGAGAACGGCTTCTTTTCCCTGTACATGCCTGAACAGTTCATTACGGTACACTTGTGAAAGTCACAGATAGATACTAACAAATACCGAATGGCTGTGCTGGAAAAGGGATGCCAGTCTGAGCACCCGACAGCTGTGTGTAACAGAACTCTCTCCAAGTGTGTAGAAGAACCATGGCATCTCGTGGTTTCATTATTTTTGTTTACTAGTGAGACATAATGTGGTCGTGTGTGTTTTAGAAACATGTATATTCTCTTTTGCAAACTGCTTTTGAATGTTCGATTTTTTTCTGGCTTTGTTAAGAGTGTTTCACATTACTTAAATTTTTCTTTGTCTAATATGTTAACAAAAGCAATGTTTTCTCTTTTTTAAAGATTTTATGTATTTATTTTTAGAGAGGGGAAGGGAGGTAGAAAGAGAGAAAGAGAAAGGTCAAGAGCTCACACATGCTGGGGACCTGGCCCAAAACCCAGGCATGTGCCCTGACTGGGAATCAAACCAGCAACCTTTCAGTTTGCAGGCCGACGCCCAATCCACTGAGCCACACCAGCCAGGGTTTTTTTCCCCCCCTTTATCATGCTTTATTCATTGTGATACAGAGCAATATTTTTAATTTAACTCTTTAATCATTTTACTACAGAATGAACAATCATTTCTTTTTTTAATTAAGTTTAATATTCATCTTACATACATGAGAATTTTCAAAAAATGAGTAGAGAATGTAGGAATACATTTTTCAATTACTGATGTCTATTTTTTGTTCTAGTTCTGGAGATTTATTGGTCTTCTATAGGAAATCATTTACTGTCTTCTCTTGAGATGAACAGCCCGTAGTCGGTCACCTAGTAAGAAATGCACCGAAATAACAGTAGGGAACTAGGAAGGGAAAGTGGACATTTGTAATTTTCAGCTGCCCTCAGTCCTTCAGTGCCTCCGCACAGCCATCAAAACAAGATGAAAACTCAAAAGCACAGGCTACAGGGCTTTTCATGATGTGGCCACTGCTTGTATTTTTGCCTCGTCTCTTCCCACTTCCTCTGTTCCCGGAGCCACGCCATCTATTACTCAATTTGCTACTCCACACGCCCACTGTGCCTTTCTTTACCCTCACCCCACCTCCTTTATCTGGTTAATTCCTATTAATTCTCTGTGATTGAACACTGTCTTTACTTCCTATTTTTAAAAACCTGTACCTGGACATGCACACATACGCACAATATCCTATTCCATTTATTTACTTTTTATCAAAGCACTCATTGTACCATAGCGTAACTGTTTAATTGTGTTATGATACTGGTTTGAATTAGAACTTCTTTGTTCTAATACATGACATACTTTTGTTGGATGGTTAATTAGTTACTTAATTTTAACTTAGTACTTACTCAGTCTACTCTCTGATGGATGATTTGCGAGGCACTGAAAACAGGACACCAAAATAACAAATCCTGGTTCCTTCCTGAACTCACTCAAGTTTTACTTGGGATTTGTGATGTTTAAAAAGTCGAGTTAAAAAAAGAAAATTGTACCTTTTGTGACAGTACGGATGGACCTGGAGGACGTTGTGCTAAGTGACATAAGTCAGTCAGAAAAAGACAAATACCGTGTGATTTCCCTCATATGTGGAATCTAATGAACAAACTGAACTAACAATGAAAATGGGGACAGACTCATAGACGGAGAGCAGGCTGACAGCTGGGTGGGGGGAGACGAGAGGGGAGGAGGGATTGAGCAAAAAGGAAAAAGGACTCAAGGACCTGGGCAACAGGGTGGTGATTGCTGAGGGGAGGGAGATATAAGGGGACTAAATGGTAATAAAAAAAATACAATAAAGGCCCTGGCTGGTGTAGCTCAGTGGATTGAGCACAGGCCTGCGAAGCACATGATCAAGGTTTGATTCCCAGTCAGGGCACATGCTTGGGTTGCAGGCCGGTTCCCTGCAGGCCAGTTCCCAGCAGGGGACACACGAAAGGCAACCATACATTGATGCTCCTCTCCCTCTCTCCTTCCTCCCTTCCCCTCTAAAGATAAATAAATAAAATCTTAAACAAATAAATAAAATATAGCAAGTGGATTATTGACCGAGAAAGTCAATGCTTAACTATAAAAAAATACAATAAAGATTAAATTTAACATATAAAAATAAAAAGTCAAGTTAAATGAAGACCAATAGCCATGCAACAAGTTTCTTGGAAACCCACATCCCAGGGTGAATTTGACGACAATATAAGCTGCAATTCCTAGATGCACTAATAAAATTATAACATGTGTGAAATACCAGACAGAAGAAATGATAGCGAGTCACTGAATATAGTGTCTTCCTTCAGGTCAGTCCCTCACTCGCACCCACATCACATCCCACCTTTATCTCCAGAAACAAAAACCGAACTGTCTAGAAGTTCATTGCAGAAGTGTTTTTCCATACGCTGACTCCTCACTTGGAGAGCACCCAAATTTTTAAGGGACATGATTCTTTAATAAATAACATAAGAGATTTTCTTACTTGGTATATTTGGTCTGATCCAACTTTCCTAGAATGCCTGTTCAATTTTAAGCAAGCTTCATTAAATATTGAGATATTGAACATTCCATCGTCTTCTAAGAGATCATCTTCTGAAAGACAAGAGAGGACACATGGGAAGGTGGCGTCATCTTGGCAAACACGTCACGGCCAAGTACAATGGAAATGCTGACATCTCAAGAGTGCCAATAGGGTGTTTAACAGCAAGACCACTGCAGCTGGCTTTGGGGCCTGGCTCTACAACCTCTTAACTGCATGACCTTAGCCACGTCACTTAACCCTCTGAACCTCCGTCTCCTAATCTGTGAAACCAAGTCATCCGGTTTGCCCTTCTGACATGACACGCTGTAGAGAGTATCAAACCAAATAATGCATATTTAAAAAGTACTGTAAACTAATAAAGCTGTCATAGTTTTGGAAAGTTAATCTCATCACTTCAGTAAAATGGCTTGTTATATATAAGCACATAAATAGCCAGAAAACTCGGCGAACAGGAAAATGGTGAATGAGGGCAAAGGTCACTGAGCAGAACTCTCAGAGCCAGTGTGTCCACTTAGAAGACAACCAGCAAGTAGTCGGCAGGGCAAGATGTCTGTCCTCGCAGCAGAGAGCAGCCCCGGAGGCCTGCTCGGGCGGGCTCCAGGCAATGAAACAATCGGCAACAGACTGATTTCAACCACTGCGCAGTAAAAAGTAATTTCATGCCTCGCAGAGTCCAGTGCATTCCGTCAGTGTTCTGTTTTATTAATGTAACCACAAAGACGAGGTTTGTGAGTAATGAGTACAGAACGCGCAGAGTCCAGGAGTGCCACGACTGGAATTTGAGAAGCAAATTCCCTAAACAAACAAGCTATATGTTTCCTACAAATGAGAAAAAGTTTCCACATCTATCAGAGGGAAGCTTTTTATAACTACCTTTTAAGTCTGTTTCTCCCGCGGAGTCTCTGCTACCTAAGAAGGAATAAGAACAACAGCAAATCACTCTGTTCAAAGTCAGAACTGCCCACAAAATTGTACCTATTACTGACATGCTGCACAAGGCAACGAGCTGGGGGGAAATATCGTCGGCTAGACCTGGAAATATGAAAATATGGATACGGAAGAGAATTTGAAGGCCTGTCGCATGTGCTCTCCTCAACCTTCACAACTTTTATTTTAAAGATTTCATAAGGACATCTGAAACAAAAACTGCCACATTATGCAAATGATTTGGAGGCGTGTCGAGTGTACATATTGTATTCAGGAATACCGCACATGGACTGTGTACACACACAGAACGCGGAAGCAGACCAACTGTCTGCACCCTTCCGATCTCCACGTGATTTTCCCACTTACAGCCCTTCTAACCTGAATTCAGGGGGTGATAGCAACATGCAGGAGGGTGTCTGGTCCCCACTTCCACCCCCAATCCAGACAGAAGTGCTGAGAATAGTAAAAGTGGGTCTAAATTTGCATCCGGGTTGGAAAGGAGGGTCGGTTGCCATACATGAGGCAGAGACACGGCGACGTATCAGCTCAGCACAGTGTGGAGGGCAGCAGGGTGGGAAGGAACACACTGAGACCTCCGGGCAGCGTGTCTTCCAAGCAGAGGAGCATGGTCTCAAAGTCTCAAAGCCTCAAAGTCTCAAAGTCTCAAAGGACGGACCTGAAGGAGGACTCATGCCTTACAGAGGTGGAGGCTGGAAGCCAGGACAGGCCACAGGGCACTAAAGTGACAAATACCCCATCTGCAGCCATTTACCCCAGTGGTTCCCAGTCCCAATTGCACATCAGAATTACTCAGACACAGCAGATCTCAAGTAAAGCTTGGACATCTGTGTTTTCTTTAATGCACCAAGCAATCTGATAGGCAGCCAGGATAAAAAGTATATGTGCTACTACCAATAATAGCAGTCCTTTTTCTGCCCACTGGAGATCTTCTAAGGGGAGGCTGAAGGACCTGGAGGTTTCACCAGCCTGAGCAGGCAACAGGAGAGACTTGGGTCTTGTCTGCCTTCTTAGGCTGTAACACCACAGTGAAGGCAGGCAATGCCGAGCCAGCCTGGTAGCAACAATGTCACCGATCAAGAGAGCAAAGGGCTCAGAAATAAAGCTCAGGGCAATGGGCTTTCCCACCGCTGCTCCCCAAAAGACACTAGATCATCCAAGTTATACTAAATCCTTCAAGATGAGATCTGAGTTAACTGTACTAATACTATCCAATAAAAAGAGCAAAGGCAATGGAACCCATTTTCTTACGAAAAAAAAAATCACACCTAAATGAAAGCTTTATCTTCTAAGAATAAGTAATCTAGAAGGGGGGGGAGCCCATAAAATGATTCTACAAAGAACAAGAGGGAGATTGTGCTTAGGAGGCAAAGAATGAACATTCTTTTAGGGGAAAATATTGAGCAAAATTAGGCAATATGTATCGCATACTTTCAGTTAAAGAAAAAGATGGATTCAAACAGATAAAGGGTGAGATAATAAGAGAAAGCAATAGCAGAGAGGAAATTGGTTCAGAGAGGCAGAAATAAAAAGGAAACTGAATGAAATAAAGAACCAATAGAAAATGAAAGTGCAACAAGGGAACGTAAAGTGCATTAGAAATGACAGAGGTCAGACATGCCGATTCATGTATGCATGAATGTGTACAGAGAGCAAACGTGCCACCTCACCGTAGAAGACAGAGGACCAAGACGTGAACACAAGACGAGAGAAAAGGAAAGACCAATGCCAAGAAGAAATTCTACATAGGGCTGTGTGAAGAGCCAGAAGAACACTTCTTAGAAGACAGTAATTAGAGATTTCATGAAAGGAAATGCCCCTAATGTATAGATAGACCAAATTCTGAAGATCAAAAAAATTCACAAAGTACTGAGACAACTTAGTAAAAAAAAAAAATTTAACATTTATATCAGCCACAACTGAAGTTTCATGAGAGAAGGGATTTGTGTCTCATTCACTATTGAACTCCCAATACCTAAAACAATGTCAAATGTGGAGTTGGTGATTAATAAACATGTCCCATCGTTGGGAACCGCCCTGCCTGGTTTCAGGAGCTGTAACGCCCCCCCTCCCAGGGCTAAGGCTGAGTGACTGACCTTTGGACCCTAAGCCACTAAGGAGACAAAGCTTATCTCCCTGGCAGGGGCGCTACTTCTGCTCTTTTTACTTCACCCTGCCTGGCCCCCAATGCTTTATCGGTTAGCCAATGATGGGTAAGATTCCCCAATGGGGAAACAACCTAAGACAGGCATGATCATGGGGGGCCCCAGGAAAGGACTTGGGGGGCTATAGCAAAAGGGGGTGATGGACCCTCGCCCCTCGGCTTTGAGTCCTAATTCTGTCTGTGAGAAGTCTCCTAATCTCTTGGCTGCCTTACTTCCCTTGCCTGACTTAAGCCTGAAACAACGCTGGAGGTGGGTGTGGCCCTGTGCTAGAAAGGGCGGGTTCCCTAGGGTGATCAGGCCTAAGAAAGAATGCACAAAATCCTGTGAAACCTGCTTAGTTTAGAATGCTCTCAGTTAAATGAGAAGGGTCCAAGCAGGAAGTGAGTTTGTTCCTCAAAGTTTTATGGCTCTTTAGCTATCTGACCCTGATTCAAAACAGGCCCTCAGAGTTCTTCGTATGTTATCTATTGTTTGATCCTTACTGCCTGATAATGATTAATGAGCGTTACCTGTATTCCTGTATAAAGTGAACCCAATAAAAGCCCATTGAGGAAAAGGCTCTTGGTTCTTTGAGAGGTAGGCCACCTTTCCTCCCCCAGCAGATCATGTCTTAGTAGACTTACTCTCATCCTCTGGGATGAGGGGCTCTGTGGGCAAAGCTCCCCCACGTCTCATGTGTATGAATAAGTGATTAAAGGCTTGACTTTCACACATGCAGAAAGTCTCTATGATACCCAGGCTAAAAAATCAGATTATCTACATGAAATTTTTAAAATCACAGCTTCTTCAAACTCCTCTTTCAAAACTTTAAAGTCCCACAATCAATCTGAAATGCTTCCAGAATTCTGACAACAAAGGTTACAGCCCAAGAATTTTATCTTCAGGCAAGCTCTCATTTACCTGTGAAGACAAAATAAAGACATTCTCCAAAAATGGGCTCAGAAAGTATCCCATTCCTCAGTGAACAGAAGACAGAAATCACAGGGCAGAGAGAAACTTCAGTATGAAACTTTGGCATGCAAGAAACATTGAGACTATTAAAACATAAACTTGTTTAAATAACGGTTAAAAATCTCGTTGTTAATCAAGATACAAATGAGCTCTTTAAAGATGTAATACATGTCAACATTAATTAGAAATAAGCTGGCCATAAAATGCCCTGTTAAAACAATAAGAGAAGTGAGAGGGGCAGAAAAAAAGGGAAGTAAAGAATACTAATTCCCACATCTTACTGAAGAAGAAGTTAACGCTGTTTCAGTCTTAACGCTGGTAATCAGAGAAATACATATTCAAGCAGGGTTATTATTTTTTTAAAGATTTTATTTATTTTTAGAGAGAGGGGAAGGGAGGGGGAAAGAGGGGGAGTGAAACATCAATGTGTGGTTGCCTGTGCACCCTGCTGGGGACCTGGCCTGCAACCCCGGCATGTGCCCTGACTGGGAATCAAACCGGCAACAATTCTGTTTGCAGGCCTGCGCTTAATACACTGAACTACACCAGTCAGGTCAAGCAGGATTATTTTTGTTTTTTTAAATGTATTGCAAAATAAAAACAAAATCTATACTGTCTGAATCACTGAAAAAGCAGCTCTGTGCAGCAAAAAGAAAACAATGGACAAAATAAAGTAGCATAAAGAAGAGTAAAACAACAGCCCTGGCAGGTGTAGCTCAGTGGATTGAGCACGGGCCTGTGAAGCAAAGGGTCGCTGGTTCCATTCCAGTCAGGGCACGTGCCTGGATTAAAGACCAGGTCCCCAGCAGGGGACACATGAGAGACAACCACACATTGATGTTTCTCTCCCACTCTTTCTCCTTTCCTTCCCCTCTCTCTAAAAATAAATAAAATATATTTTTAAAAAGAGTAAAATAACATGACAGAAGAAAGGAAAATTGTATCACAAAGAACACTAATGCAAATTGCTTAATGGACCCACAAAAGAATAACACTTTTCTCAAACAGGCTTCTCAACATACGCAGTCCCCCAGCGTGCGTCTCCTGCACTGTTATCCGGGGAGCTTTTTAGGAGAACAAACTGGGGGAAGGCATGTCATGCAAATGGAAACACAAAGAAATCAAAGAAGCCAGTATTACAAACCAAAGTATAACTCGGGGCAAAAAATAGTAAAGAGGACAAAGCAAGTCATCTGTGACTAGCAAAAGTTAGAATCTACAATTAAGGTAACAGTTATGAACATAACTATCACAACATCAAAAGCCATGGAACAAACCACTTAAGAGTTTCTAAGAAAAATTGAAGAAAATGGCAACGCAAGTATGGGAAAAAAAGCAACAAAATTGAAAAAAAAAAAACCTCAGAAGTCCTAGAAAATCTTACTAGAGTTAATTGAAGACTAGACTGACTCTACCTACAAACAATGTCTCTACTATCCAGCACCAACCGTAAAATTACAAAAATTGGCCAAGACTAAGCCCCCCTAAAATGTCAATAAATCCACCAAGAGAATACCAAAATGTAATTAAACTAGAAATAACAATAGTGTAAATGTCTAAAACGTGTGAGTTGTATAGCACATAATTTATCCTTCCATCAATGGGAAAATCAAAATAGCAATTAGTTAATGCTTTGAAAGTAAGGATAAAGAGAACATGTATTAACACACTCATAAACAATTCTTCAATCAAAGGAAAGATCAGAATAGCAATTACATCATGCCTTAAAAGTGAGAACAAAGGGAACAGGTACCCATTCATACCTAAAGAATTCTGCCCATGCTCAAATTCAGAAGGAAAAAAGAAGCATGAAGGACTTTTTATTATCAAACAGGAAAGGTTGGAAATAAGTTGAATTATGCATTCAACTCAAGAACTTAGTGATAGAACAATATAACCAACTTAAGAGAAACAGGAAGAATAAAATAATAGAAATAAGGGAGAAATTAGCCCGGGCTGGTATGGCTCAGTGGATTGAGCACTGGCCTGCGAAACAAAGGGTTATTGGTTCAATTCCCAGTGAGGGCGTGCAAAAGGCAACCGCACATTGATGTTTCTCTCCCTCTTTCTCCCTTCCTTCCCCTCTGTCCAAAATAAATAAGCAAAATCTTTTAAAAAGGTGAGGGATAAATTAATGAGATACAAAAGAGAAAAACAATTTAAAAACCTATGAGTTTATTCTTTGGGGGAAAAGAACATTAGTAAAACAGACAACTCAAGATAAACTAATCAATTTTTAAAAGAGAAAACAACAAAATTAGGAATAAGAATATCCTGGGATTATATAACCTATAACTCAGAGGGGTTGTAAACAAATATTCCATATGACATTCTGCTGATATATTTTAAATCTCAACAAAATGGCCACTTTTTAAGGAAAATATAAATTATAAAAATTGACTCAAGAAAATGAAAGAAACATGAACAGACCAAAATCACAGAAGAAATTGACAAAGTTATTAAACAATTATCTCTGCAAAGGGGTGAGATTTAAATGATCTTATGAGCAAATGTGTCTGACTTTAAAGGAAGAAAAGAATTCAAAAATTATATAAATTCTCCAATAGAGTTGATATAAAAAAATTTGGAGAAGTTCCCAATTCATTTTTAAGAGAACTGGCGTAATCCTGAAAGTAAAATCAATAGTTAAGTATGCAGGTTCTAGAAAAAAATTATTAACCTTTACAAAAGTGCATACATCAAGAGGGAAGACAAAACCCAAGGAGACAATGAGTACACGTGGAAATGTACCCTATTTCCCATTGGGGCAGCTCAGTTGAAATCCCCAATTCTCACTAGATTGATTTGAAAATTTAATCCAATTTCTCTTAAAATTTCAGACAGAGGAAAGTGGTCTGGAGACACTAAACATCTCGGCCATGGTCACCCACTCTTCATGGCTGAGTTAAGATGCAAAGCCAGGTCTGTCTGACCCCAAAAGCTATGCTTTCCCAGTGGAAATAAACTTGAAGTAATGAGATATTAGTCAAAACAGCTGACCCTGAACAGCACACTATCATTCTGACCGAACATTGAAAGATCAGTTTGAAGACCTGGGACGAGCTTTTTAAAAAGACATGATCCTAATAAATCCATAGCAATTTATTATTAATTGTGTACAAGCTTCTCTAACCTAGTTTTAATTTTAACTAAAGTTTTATGTTTTATAAGGATAAAACTTACATTAGTTTTATGTCTCTCCTTACATAGTATTTACTTAGAAAGAAATCATTTGGTTTTGTTCATATACAAGTACCCAGGGACCTAATCTGTGTAATTTCGCAGTTGGCTTCATACTGGTCAGATTGGCAGAATTTTGGATGATCTCTACCCAATCTGTGTCACTCCCAGTTCCTGGGGGCAGCAGTAACTGAGGGTTGAGGTACATTTTCTTAAGTAAGAACTATCTCAATTCCCCTCAAATAAAAAATGACCCCAGTAGTTTCTTAAGGTTTGCTTATAGAATATTTAATTAGTCCTAACACTCTATAACCAGAACTATTTCTACAAACATAATTGTCACAATGTTATTATAAAAATCCACGTGATAACTATGTGCAATGAGATTTATTACTGCTTTTTGAAGCTTCTTCCTGCCAATTCTTCTTAATTCACCTTCCTGCATCCTGGGACTGCCTACTCCCATCCGCTCGCCCCTTGTCAACTTGCTCTCTCAGCCCTGATCGGTCCTGGGCTTGGTTCCCACTCTAGATATAAAGCCACTGGGTCAGTGTCCCAGGCTCCTCCTCTCCTGGGCAAGAGTAAGAGATGCCGTTTGTCTTTCCTACGAAAGCCGAGTAGCTACCCTCTGTGGGTACACCCTCGGAGACAGCTACACCCTCACCTAACATTGTTCTTTTTCAAATGTCTCCTTAACACCTTCCACTTCAACCAGATGCCCCAGAGGAGAACCAATACATTCGGCCTGGCATCCAGAGGGTAGGAATCTCCCCTAGGCACTCTCCTGGCTACGGATCTCAGAGAGCAACTATGAACACTCCTGCCCAGCTGATGCTGAAGCACATTTTCCCCGCAGCCTGTGCTTAGCGTTTTCTAGGAGGGAAAGAGACTTCCGCTCCACCTACCTGCTGTCCGGAACCCAATGCGGGCTGGCACAGAGCGTCTGGGAGGGGCGGTGGAAATGCTCACGGTGTAGTTGGTGCCTTGATACAGATCGAGGCACACTTCTGGGCTCCCGCTGTGTGTGGTCAGGTTGACTGTCTCCTCGTGAACGGATTCCACAGGGTCCACCTGGTGTCCTACTATGTGTATCTGTGTCGGGGGAAAAGATAAGAGAATCCACAGGGACTACGGTTGAAACAACCAAGCGGGACTTTGTGGTGCTGGGTCCTCTTTTCCTACTATTCCCTTTTGCACTGCACTGCCCACCGGGGAAGGTTAATAAGGGAAACCTCTGCCATCAGGTGTTTGATGATGATGTGTGATCAGCCTATAGTGATCAGGGAACCCGAAGAAGTGACATAAAACGAGGAGTCCCTCTGGGGAGTGACATACAAGTGCTTGGAAATTAGTCTGGATACCAAATGTAAAGACATCTCCACACATAACACCCTGTCGAGTGACAAATATATTGAGCACAAAATGTAAAGTAAAGCACTCCAGGTATCTTTATAAATCTGCTCTTTTTTTTTTAAAGGATGATGGGATTTGGAAAGCAATTAAATTGAGAGGCTCTTCCGGAAGCAAGTCCCTCACCTCACATCCCCCTGAGTCACCACTTCTGCCCTAGCAGGAAAAAAGTAGATTACGTTACTCACCACATACACAGTCGTGGAGTTTGTTCTTCCTGGGTTTATTTGCCACCTCACACAGGTGTTATTAAACACTGACAGAGCATTAATTTCTGTAATTATTTCTAAAACAGAAAAAAAGAGATAGTCTGCTCACAAAATACATCGATGGGCTTTGGAAAAATCCCAACGGAAACCGCTTTGCAGGGCAGGGCTTCCTTTCTCTGTACAGCTAGGATCTCTGCTGCTCACCGTTCATGCTCTGATTCAGAAACTGAGTCGGGCAATTCCAGCTACCCCAGGCCGATCACCTGGTTTATCTTCACCACGAATGAGCCTGGCTTGTGGGGAAAGGAGAGAGTCCTGCCTGAGCAAGTATGGCTAAGAAGTCCGACCTGTGGTCAGTCTGACAGGCCACTGGATGCCACTGGTGTTCCACTCATGTGGGAAGGAAGGAGGCCCAGGCTGCACCCTGAACCTCCCCTGCAGCCCAACAGCTAAGATCTGCTCCGGCCCCTCCTGCCTCTGGCTGATAGAGCGCTCTTATTTTCGGGTCACTGCTCTCCCCCAGAGAGAAAGGACATGCGTCACCACTGGGGACCCTTCCTCAGGGCAGGTTGGGGTAAATAGAATGAATTTGCACAAGGTCCCTGGATACTATGGGACTCCTTGCACCGAAGCTACTTAATCCTGACCTAGCAGGAGGCTACTGATTTCTTCAAGTTGTTTGGCTTCTTTTAAATATTCTGCATGTTTCACGTAACAAATCTGGCAATGTGGGAAACTGTACTAGGGTCTTGGTTTCCTGAGGTAACATAGTTTTCAATGGGCCCAGTTCACCACCTAGGAAGTTGTTCAGATGGGAAGAGAACAAGGATTTAGCTTTTTAACCTCTTTATCTGCATATTCCCTGCAGATAAATAAAACTACCTCTATTAGTAGATGACCTAATCTTGTCTATGAATCAATCCTAAGGAATTCACACACAAAAATAACCATCACTAAGAAAGGAATTCAGCAAGGTTGCAGGATAGAAGGTCAATGTATAGAAATCAGTCGTATTTTTGGACACTAGCAAGGAATAATCCAAAAATAAAATCAAGAAAACAATCTTTCCCTGACTGGTGTGGCTCAGTGGGTTGAGTATCATCCTGAAAACTGAAAGGTCACCGGTTTGATTCCCAGTCAGGGCACATGCCTGGGTTGTGGGCCCGGTCACCATTTGGGAGTGTGTGAGAAGCAACTGATTGATGTTTTTCTGGCACCTCAGTGTTTTTTCTCTCTTTCTCTCTCCCTTCCCCGCTCCCTAAAATAAATAAAATATTTTAAGAAAAAAAGAAAAAACAATTTTATTTACAACGGCATCAAAAAAGAGTAACATTTCCTACAGGTAGAAGCTCCCCTACTTTTATTTCTAGAGAAGGGAACCCTCATTTCAGCAAACAGGAATATTCCACAGCCCAAATTCAGGCTTTACTACCCAATCAGACAACCCTCATAGAGTCTCCAGAATCTCTCGGCCTCACCTGTTCCTGGTTCCATCCCTACACAGGCCTTGACTATGTGGGTGAGTGCTATCTCTCATCTGGGGCTCCCTGCTGGGGTACCCACACCTGCAACCTGGAAGTGCAAGGGAATTAATGCCCCTTGGGGACAGGAGATGGGAGTCAATCTCCCCTTACTTTTCTTTTCCCCGAAGGACAATCCTACAAAAACTTCTCAGGGTATAAACAGGGCAATCACTTGCACTTAACGGACCCGACAAGGCATCCTTTACGTTGGCTCTTCTCCCTTCCCTGCTTCCTGAGACACCATTCCCCACTGTATATACAATAAACATAAGCCTTCCGCCTTGGGCTTTCTTTTCTGGAAATCCCAAGGAAAGACTCTCATCCAGAAGAATGAGAAACTGTAATTGAAAAAATCTTTTCTTAATTAAGAAAGAAAACAGCTTTCCTCAACTCAGCTCCTGCCCTTCTCTTCTAGTAAATCTCTTCTCAGTCTCCACGCGGGAAAAGGGACCTTCACCCACAGGCACCTGAGGGTTGCCTCCTTGTTCATCTTGTACTCAGAAGCAAAGCCGCCTTTAGATAAACCCTGGTCTACTGATATCCTTGCCCATAGAAGACTCTACATCTTGACTCAATCAGCCCATCAGCAGCATTACAGAGATTCTACATCCCACGTTACCTGGTCTTGAATAAGCCCAGGCCAGCTATAGGTAAGCGAGAATAAACGGAGGCAGAGACAGGAGCGCAGGCAGAGTCGTGGAGAGGCACTGGAGGATCACCCACGGCTGCCCTAAGAACTCCTGGGTCACTACAGCAATACTTCTCCCCAGAGCTCAGAGAATGTGAAATCAAAAACACTGCAGTTATAGACGCGGGCACCCTAAGAGATGCAAAGATTCTATCCACTGACTCTCTTGGGTAGCACAAAGATGATGCTGCCGCCAGTCTATTGTCAGCTTAAAGAGGACCCAAACATTCCTGGCCTCTTCCCTCCCCAGCACCCTTCAAAGCCCTAGAGCTCTGGACTCCTAGACTCACGCACACATCCCTCTGACGCCAACTCACCACCTGGTCCAGGAGGAAAGGAAACATCCCACCCTCCACCTTCTCTCTGAGTTGCAAGTAACGCAAATTTCCTTTCACCTGGGACCCATCTGCCACCCGAGCAGAGATTAGAAAAGAGACATAAATGTTGCCTGTCTTGTCTTTACTTTCTGCTCATTCTCTATGACAACTGCAAGTGACATCTCAGAAATGGCATCTGCTTCCAGCTTGTGCCATGCTCTCTGCACAGATGGGACCCCGATCTGACTATAGGGTGTCAGATATTTCATCTCAAGGAGCAGTGAACAAAGTCTCATTGCTTTTTCTTCCAGGGGTCTACAGATGAGCTTGAAAGACTTTTTAATAAACATATCAGACATTAAAAATTCACAGTCATCTTGCCTTTAAAAAAGAGATGACTTACGCCTGGGCCGGCATGGCTCAGTTTGTCGGGCATCATCCCACACACCAAAAGGTCACCGGTTTGATCCCTGATCGGGGCACGTGCCTCGGTTGGAGCTCATTCCCCAGTCAGGGTGCCTATGGAAGGCAGCCGATTGGTGTTTCTCTCTCACATCAATGTTTCTCTCCCTTCCCCTCTCCCTAAAATCAATCAATCAGTCAATTAATTAATAGTGATGATTTGGGAGGATATGTCCTAATTCCAATACCAACACGTGAAAACATTTCTAGCAGTTCTCTGGAATTTACTCCAGAGCTCTTTATTCGCCATTAACGGAACGTCCACCGAACGCCAAGCATCTCCCTGTGCGAGGCACTGGGCTGTGATGATGATCAGAACATAAGTCCTTTCTCGGGAACATGCTGCCCGATGGAGGGAGCACATATACACACAAGCAGGTAAATTACAACTCAGTAAATATAAGAGCAAAACTACAAAGTACCACGGGGTATAGCAAAAGAAGTTCATCGACTGTCCCCAAAGGACCTGGGGAAGCCGGCTTCACTGATGGCATGAACTTAACGGATGAATGGCTGAAGAGGAGGGAAGCCATCTATGCAGACGGACCAGCAAGTCCAAGGCTTAGAACAGTAAAGGCTGTGGCATATCCGGAGTGGGTACAGAGCCGTGTCACGTGACTGGGGAAGGGGGAAGGTGGGAAGTGAGGTTGCAGAGAGAGAACAAAGTCGGACTGGGCAGGACCTCGATAGTAGCTCAATATGTGAAGACCGATAAGTAGGTCTTTATAGACTTGATCTCATCTTTACAGCAGTCATAAGAAGCAGCGACAAAATCAATCATGAGAGAATATTTATTGAGTTATTACCACACACCAGTTACTATGTATAATGTATCATTTCTTGAATCTTCAAAATAGCCCCATGAGCTTGCTCCTACTGTGTCCATTTTTCAGACCCGAGGCTTAGAGAAGTTAAGTAACCTGCCAAGGGTCACACAGCTAGTAAGCAGTCAAATCAGGACTCTAATCTAGACCTGACTCCAGAGCCTTTGCATTGAAGCAGTTATTCAGCAAAAATGTGAAAAGATGAATTCAGGGCACTGCACTTAAAATCATAAAACGATGAGGATGCAACAGGAATTGAGAAATAAGGACCAGCGAGGGATCTCGGCTCACTGCCGGTCTTTGAACTTGAGAGTCTGAATGGATTGTCTTTACTGCTCTCAGAATAAATATAGGAGGAAGCTGACCAGGTTTCTGAGAAAGAGGCTAATGAACTGTGTGTAGGGCAGGCTAAGTGTGAGTTCTCTACAGACTATCCTTGTGAAAATAGTCTTGAAAGTCATGCATGTGTAGATAGCAGCTGAAGCCCTGGGTCCTGGTGTAAAATCCAGGTATGACATATAGTGGCCCAATGACAGAACACCAGGAAACGCAGGCAGCTACAGGGAAACCAGAGGAGAGAGAGCAATGCAGAAGAGAGGTGAGAGGTGGGCTGAGGGAGCGTGATGCGTAGGGAGTCAAGGAAGAAGATTGAAAGAAGCGTCTGCTTCCTCCAGAGCTATCCCCCTTCCTTCCCACCGCGACCTCCTCCCCTCGCACGGGAGGAGGGCCTGGCGTGCACCATGAAGGCCCTGGGGCAGGTTCTCTCTTTCTTCTTTCATACAGCTCTTTCCTCTCTGACGGAGTGCCACCGTGTCATGACTACATCGGAAGTTGACTTTGGGTAAAGGTGGGGAGACCAGGCCTGTGACCTGCTCGGTTGTAGGACATTCAGACATCTCTTGCCAAAAAAAAGAAAAGAAAAAGGCCCCGCAGCATTCGCTTGGTCTCTACACTCGAGGTGGGGGAACAAGGCCTCAGTGGGTGATAAAGTACCTTCACTTTGCTTCAATTCTGTCTGTGGGGGGGGTGTAAACATAAATGTACATGTGCATAAAGTTATGCATTTTAGTATTCTATTAGCACCCAGTATTCTCTGGGCTACTTTTCACATTGGTAACTCATTAACTTTGTCATTGCTTATCTAATGCCTGTCTTTCCTGAATGTAAGCTCAGTGATGGCAAAGACTGGGTTTATCTCTCGGACCTAATACAGTGCCTTGGACATAGATATTTAAAAGTATTTATTATTTGATTGATTGCTTG